TTTTACAGAGGACTGTCGTTTGTGCAAATATGTCTTTTATTATCGGAGCTGTCCCTGCCAAGTCCCATTTAAAGACAAAGAACCCTAAGAAGGCTTAGCCAGCACTGAGGAGGAGGGTGGAGGGTTGCTTAAGAAGGCTAGGCTTTCAGTAGCTGCCATGGTCTAAGATAAGACGTAGGGATGGGCTGGAATTTCAGACCAGGATGAAGCGTGAAAGAATGACTTTAGCAGGGGTTTGTGGTAGGACATTTGATAGTTTCAGACTGAATGCTTGATCACTTGGAAGCCCATAAGATAGCTTCCCTTTGCAGATGACTAAGAGTGGTGTAGTAGATAGACTGATAATGGACTAGAATGTAGGAGGCCTTGTAGGAGCCCTGAATTCAAATCCCCACTCAGCCATAGAAGCTCACTGGGGGTGTGGATCTGGTAAAACCCCTGCCTAGAATATTTCGTTTACTTTGAAATCCGTCAGGGTGCCTATAAGTCAGTTCCAATTTGACAACACACAACTAATTAATGTTAGGCAGAGAAGAACCCAGCCATACAGGGTTGAGGTTGGGGGCCAAAATTCAATATCCACTTGTACATCTGGAGTCTTATTCTCAATAAGGATGTAAAACAGCCACTTCATGAAGTCACAGTGGTAATTAGAGGTTTTTTCCCCAAGCTTTTTGAGGGAGTGGCAATTTTTAACATTCACAGTTATTCAGAGCAAATGCTGGGCTGAGTTGAAACCAACTTATCCCGGAACAAATTATTTATTTATTATTATTATTTATGTAAAGTGTTTATACCCTACATCTCAAGAGGACCCAAGGTAGCTCACAGTATTAAAAACAAACAATATTAAAAGCCATAAGTCATTGCAGTCCTTAAAAAGAATTAAACAGATATCAACTTAAAAATTGGTGGAAAAATTTGTCTTGAAAAGGGGGATTGGTTACCGGAGCCATCTTCACTAAATAAGTTTTAGAACTGCTTAGCAACTTTACTTTGCTAAGGTACCTTAATGCTTATTGATTGCAAAGACCGTTCCTACTATTAGGTAGAGTGAGATATTTACCCCAGAGAGCAAGTCTTAGACTGTCCCTTGGAGTCGGAGGGAATTTCTGTACTTCTCCAGTTCTCTGGGCTTGAGGAGACAAATCTCAGAGTGAGTAGTCCCAGAGGAGAAACCTTGATTTCTGATTGTGAAATAGTTTTAAAAACTTGTACACCTACCTCCACCTGGCGGAGAAGCACATGGAAAAGCTTTTCTTGCCATTGGAAGAGAGTGGGAGTACCAGAATCACGTCCCTGGCTGTTAAATCATCCTATAGGGACACTATCTTGTCTTTTACCTTGGGCAGCAAAATGTGCCTACAGCTTAGAACTTTAATTTGTTAATGTTAAACACTAGCCAATATTAGAAACTGGAAAATTAATTCATTGGCGCTGACATCCTTGTTTAACGTGCTGAAGTAGCAGAATTAATTTGCTACTTGATTTGCTAACTCTAAAATAAACCAGTGGGGTTTACAGAGTTTATTCACTGTTGACACCATCAGGAGTGTAATTTTTAAACTACCCTCTGGATTCATGGACTTCTTTTTAAAAAAAATAGACAACGAACACCACAACGCAAACTTTCAGCTGAAAAAGAAAGGTGATAGGCCTATATGGCAATACCGAAGACAGTCTAAAGATGATGGTACCATGTCTATCTGCTCTTTAAGAAGCACACCCTACGTTACCAGATGGTTATATGCAAAAGGAAGACGAAATTCTGTACCCACTTTCTTGTAGACTGCAAAATCGCCTAGAGTAGACTTTGGTCTGGATGGGCGGCCAAATTCTGTACCTACTTTCTTGTAGACTACAAAATCATCTAGAGTAGACTTTGGTCTGGATGGGCAGAGTATAAATTTAATAAATAAATATATAAAACCACACACTACAGAAACCATTAGATACAGGACACAGTATTAGGGTTGCCAAAATCTCAGCTACTTCTGCAGGTCACAACGGCCCATTTCCTAACCCATACCACCCCCTCCCTGGGAAGATCCCAGCAGAAAGCTAGTGCCTCTTGTTTCTTATGGATAACGTAATTGCAAAATGCTGTTTGAAGTTCAAAATATTATTCTAGCATTTCAAGAACTGGAAGCAAAATCGTCTCTGTCTCAAGGTGGAAAAGGCTAAGATGAGGTGGCTGGATGCAAGCAGAGGCATTTACTTTCAAATCTAATCTACCAAGAAATCTCTAACAGCTTCTGTATGTGTGCTATAAAAATCTATGTGAGAGGAGTTAATGAGTTATTAACTCTGTACAAGTGACTCCTGGATCTGCCGGAAAAGCTGACCACTATTGGCCATAGCTTCTGACCGCGGTACTTTTAGAAAAGCTAGCAGCTATTTAAGACAAATGTTAGTTCTCTCCTGGTTGTCTTCTGAAGATCAATGTGTCCTTCTTCATTTTTTTATGAAGGGAGGGAGTGTGTGAACACGTATGCTTTAAATAAATGGCCAGAATCCTACCGATGTTTGCCCAAGATTGGTGAAACTTGTCATGGCTAAGAGACAAGATGCCAGAAGGCCTCGCTGTGGCACAACTGGGCATTTAAACAGATGTTTATAAAAGTAATTCACGACTGTGCCGGCATGTAATCAATTAGCTGCAATTACCCACAGCAGTCTGTGCAAACCATACACAAACATTGATCACAACCTAGCCGTTGTTTAATGGTTAAAATTGTCATTACTGCTATCTGTAAAATGTTATTTTCATAAAGCTACATTGATTGGTAGCTTTTGGGGTCATTTGGCTGGAAACCTAATGAATTTAATGTTTGTGGTTTAAACAGACGTATGATTAATGCTTTTTCGTGCATTATTGCCAAAAGCTGTCCTGCTTCTGCTAAACTAGCAGCCAACCCTAAAGAAAAGTTATTTACCACACCTGGGTTTCTTTGATAAAGATATTGCTTGGTGTAAGCACCAGGACTAGAGAGACCTCAGTTCAAATCCTCAATGAAGTCTTCTGGGTGGCCATGGGCAGACACAGGGGCTTATTGTAAAGATAAGGGTGTGTGTGTCATTATGGATGACATCTTGAGATCCTTAGAGGAATTGTAAGTTTAAAAAAAATATATTTCAGATTACATTCTGATGGAGTATGTCACCTTGCAGTTAACATGGCCTCCTTTGCACAGGTCTGTGGTATTTTATGAATGTCTTCAGGTTATTTTTTATTATGCAATGTTTAATTCTTGTGTATGGGACGTGGTGGCGCGGCGGGTTAAACCGCAGAAGCCTCTGTGCTGCAAGGTCGGAAGACCAGCAGTCGTAAGATTGAATCCACGTGATGGAGTGAGCTCCCGTCGCTCGTCCCAGCTCCTGCCAACCTAGCCATTCTAAAGCATGTAAAAATGTGAGTAGATAAATAGGTACCACCTCGGTGGGAAGGTAACGGCGTTCTGTGTCTAGTCGCGCTGGCCACGTGACCACGGAAACTGTCTTCGCAGAAACGCTGGCTCTATGGCTTGGAAACGGGGATGAGCACCGCCCCCTAGAGTCAGACACTTTTACCTTTTACCTATGGTTATTTTAATTTCTGATATATTATTTATTATTATGAATAAGCATTATACAAATATTCTTAAATAATGTTTTATGGGTTATTGAATATTATGCTAACTAACTATCTCCGGATAAACACTGGCTCTGCGGCTTGGAAACAGAGGATTCTTAAATAATGTTTTACGGGTTATTGAATGTTATGCTAACTAACTATCTCCGGACAAACACTGGCTCTACAGCTTGGAAACAGAGATGAGCACCGCCCCCTAGAGTTGGACACGACTGGACTAAATGTCAAGGGGAACCTTTTACCTTTATGCTAACTAAAATAAGATTTTATTTTAAAACAGTTATAGAGTTGATAACAAAATGAAATATTTGAATTGTGATAGAAAAGGATTCTTGTTGTATAGGTCATTGGGCAAAATCCTGTTGCGTCAAATTGCCCTGACATAGACTAGATTCCGTGTAGGAAATACAGTAATAAATTTAAATGAACTGAAACCTTCCTATCCCTCCCTTTCAGCTTCTGAGGTTCCCGAGGACTAATGATGGCAACGAGGAGCCTTTAATATTAAAATAAATAAATAAATAAATAGATCACTGTCAGTTTTGATCCCAGTGGCAGCGATCTGGCAACAATTTTTGACTATTGAAGGCTCCCCCCCCCCCACTTCTTACCAGTCTCCCAACAGCTTCTCTGGGTCATAAAAGACCTCTAGGGAGCCTGAAAGGGAGAGGGACATAAAAAGCTTTCAATTTAAGTTAATTATTTCTGGTGTTGGATCTGTTCTACACTGGTGCAACTTCATGGCACAGGATTTTGCTCACTGTTTTTTGCGAGCTAAGACAGCATTCTTGCAAAAAGAGAGACAGAGGAAAAAAGAAATGAAATAAAATAATTTCATTCCATTGGGTTTAGGCCCTTGTTCAAAGGCGGAGCAGTTCAGGGGCATGTCAGCGGTCCCAGGTTTGATCCCCAGTTCTTTCACTTAGGGGCGAGAAAGGTTTGTGCCTGAAATGCTGAGAGTAGTTGCTGGCCAGTGTAGACCCAGGGGACAAAACCCACCAGCTGGGCAGTTGCACAATTCATGTGCGCACATCGCCTCCAGCAATGGCTGTCGTGGGCCCTGATCCGATGCCCCCCCCAGCCAAATGAGAAGACTTGCCAGTGTTTTATAGATCTTGTTGGGATCTGGGGTGGAGGAAAAGCTCCCAGCTCCCTCCAAGTAAGGAGAGAGGTAGGATAGAAGTTTGCTTATCGCTCCTGAGCCAAATATGGTAGGTGTCCCTTGCACCCTCCCGGAAAAAAAAATTCGGTGCCTTCCTGAGCTAGATGTACCAATGCTCTGTCTGGGATGGGGTGGGTTTCTGGGTTCTTAAGACAGAGAATGGCCACTGCAATGGCGAGAAGGGCCCAAGGGGGCTTGAACTGACACGCTTTGCTCCTCCTCCTCCAACAGGACTGCGAAGGCTTCGAGAAATGCTGCACCAACGTCTGTGGTTTGCGGAGCTGCGTGGCCGCCCGCTACGCTGACGGAAGCCTCTCCTCCCTGGAGCAGGTGCAGGAGGCCACCTGCGAAAGCTTTGTCTGCACCCAGCAGGGCTCGGACTGCGACATCTGGGACGGGCAGCCGGTCTGCAAGTGCAAGGACAGGTGTGAAAAGGAGCCCAACTTCACCTGCGCCTCTGATGGACTCACCTACTACAACAAGTGCTACATGGATGCCGAGGCTTGCATCCGGGGCATCAGCCTCGCTGTCGTGCCCTGCAAGTACATTTTCACCTGGCCCAACACCAGCCCGGTGCCCGTGGAGACCACAGCTCACCCGACCCCTGGCGCCGTGGCCGCTGAGCTGCCGATACCCCCCGCCCTCTACAACAACCCCTTCCACCAGTCGGTGTACGTAGGCGGCACCGTCAGCTTCCACTGCGACGTGAGTGGGCGGCCCCGTCCGGATATCACATGGGAGAAGCAAAGCGATCACCAGGAGAACTTCATTATGCGGCCCGACCAGATGTATGGCAACGTCGTCGTGACCAACATTGGCCAGTTGGTGATCTACAACGCACAGCTGGAGGATGCCGGGATCTATACGTGCACGGCCAGGAACTCCGCCGGTCTTCTGCGAGCAGACTTCCCGCTCTCCGTCATCAAGAGGGAGCACTCCAGAGGAGAGCTGAAGACACCCACCACCCCACAGCTCCCGCCTGACGAGTGCCTAAAGGAACCGGATAAGCAAGAGTGCGAGGCCCACCAAGTCCGCTGGCATTTCGATGCCAAGAAAGGCTCTTGCGCCACATTCCGCTATGGTGGGTGTGGGGGCAACCAGAACCACTTCGATACTTACGAGGAGTGCCAGTTGGCCTGCGTCAGTAACGCGGTCAACCTCTGTACACTCCCCATGGTCCAGGGCCCCTGTAAGAACTGGGAACCCCGCTGGGCCTACAACCACCTGATGAAACAATGCCACTCTTTCATCTACGGTGGCTGTGAGGGCAACGAGAACAACTTTGACAGCAAAGAGAGCTGCGAGGATCTGTGCCCCTTTCCCAAGACTCTGCAGTGCAAAGCCTGCCGCCTGAAGAGCAAGATGGTCCCGAGTCTCTGTCGCAGCGACTTTGCCATCGTGGGGCGGCTGATGGAGATCATCGAAGACCAGGATTCTGGCATTGCCCGCTTTGCGCTGGACGATGTCCTGAAGGACGAGAAGATGGGCCTCAAGTTCTTCAACATCAAGTACCTCGAGGTGACCTTGACGGACATGGACTGGAACTGCCCCTGCCCCAATATGACCACGGAGGACGGGCCCCTGATCATCATGGGGGAAGTGCACGACGGCATGGCCGTTCTGGACCCAAACAGCTACGTCCGTACTGCCAACGAGAAGCGGGTGAAGAAGATCTATGAGCTTCTTGAGAAGAAGACCTGTGAGCTTCTCAACCGGTTCCAGGACTAAGGTGGGCTGTTTTCCCTTCGGGTGGGGAGGGAAGAGAGACAAAACGTGCCACACACACCCCCGAAGACACAGCTCTTCTCTGCTCACGCACTGCAGTTGCGCAGGACTGGACTAGAATCTGTTCTAGGAAGAGCGACTGCCCTAGACGTCGGTACGAAAAGAGGAGGTAAACGCAGACTTCTTTCCTCAGTCGGTTCCATGGACCAGCCTCTTGTTTTTCAAAGATTATCATTATCCCATTACAATGAAGCTCTATTATGCTTGTAACTACCTATCATCTGCTTTTTGTGTGAGCTGTAATTTATCTGTGCCTGTGACAACCACCTCCTCATCCCAGTCTATCCTGTGTACAATTAAAAATACTGTAATATTAATAAAAAACAAGCAGTGTTTCTTCTCCAGTCACAGTGAAGGTTGATCGCTTCCCTTCCCTTCCTGTTTTAACATCACTCTGATTAACGAAGTGCCTATCCATTCTGGCATAGAGATTACTGGTATACGGATTGCTGTTGGTACAATTTGCTTTGCACCAAATAACAGCGTCCATGCCTGTTTCAACTTAGATTGATCCGATCCTGCCCCTTCAACAGCTGTCCTGCACCTTTGTGGCACGGCACTAGGGCCCCTCTTCTTTTTGGCAAGATTCAGAGGGATCATAAATAGCTTGTTGGGTAGCCTGTGCAGAGGGTTAGCTCACACCCAAATGGAGGTCCAGAACAAGTCTGGGTATTAAACTTCTAACATCCTTTTTTGTTTCAAAGCTGGTAAACCATAGATTCCTCATTCAGATAAAACCAGAAACCATCGTATAGTAAGATGTTTCCTGGTTTGTTCAACTGTGCATTAAGGGGAAGTAGAAAGAAGCTATTTGTAAGGACTAAAGTCTTGTCAATATCTCTTGCCTCTTAAGCTCTTTACTGGAACAATGTGATCCCTTTAGCATTAACTGAAAAAGCCCCCTTTTTTATGCTAGAAAAACACTGTAAGGTACTCTGGAAGTTGGTTCGTGGCAACTGGACCTCTTTCTTATTAGGTTGATATGGATCTATCAGGGGTCTCCTACCAACTCTCCTCAGACTGAAGAAGCTACTTGGAGGAGTAGCAAAATGTTTCAACCTAATAAGAAAGATGTCCAGTTGCCATGATTCAACCTCTAGATAACCTCATCTGAATGTCTGAGAATCTACTCAGATATAAGCCTCACCTGAATGTCTGAGAATCTACTCAGATATAATGTAAGGCAGTGGTCCCCAACCTTGGGCCTCCAGATGTTCGTGAACTACAGCTCCCAGAAGCCTTCACCACCACCTCTCCTGGCCAGGATTTCTGGGAGTTGAAGTCCAAGAACATCTGGAGGCCCAAGTTTGGGGACCACTGCTGTAAGGTTCTGTTCTTAAACAGAGGATAGGCAAGTTCACGTGTATTCAGGGGCTCATTTCAGCTCCCTCAGGTCCCCCTGTGGGCCCCACACGATGCCACACTACGGTGGTGCCTCGCTTAACGAGGATAATCCGTTCCAGCGAAATCGCTGTAGAGCGAAATCCTCATTAAGCAAAATAAAAAATCCCATTGAAACACATTGAAAACCCGTTCAATGCGTCCCAGTGGGCTTAAACCTCACCGTCCAGCAAAGATTCTCCATAGGGGCGGCCATTTTCGGTGCCTGTAAAGTGAGGAATCCATCCAAAAACACAGCGGGGAATCATTTTACACAGCGGGCGGCCATTTTGTAGCCACCGATCAGCTGTTTTAAAAACATTGTCTAGCGAAAAGTCGGTTCCCGAAGCAGGGAACTGATTGACCGGAAGCAAATTTTGCCTATTAAAACGTTGTTTTGCGAGCACAAAAGCGATTGCAAAATAGTCGTCGTATAGCGGTTTTGTCATTTAACAAGGCAATTGTTAAGCGAGGCACCACTGTACTTAAATTCAGTAATAAGACAGAATTGGGGGATGGGGACATTTCTGGGATTTTTGGAAATTGCCTTCCAGTACTAAAGCAAGGCACACATTGGGAGTGTGCATTGCTTTAGTGATGAACTTGACTTCCTGGAGTATGACTCACTTCTAAAACCAGGTTGATCTTCACTGCAAATCTTGTTTTTGCATGGTGATACCTCTTTTTTCCACTAGTTTTTTTTGGGGGGGTGGTGCAGTGGGGTGGAGGTGCTCCATATTGTCCACCTTAAGTCTTAAAACAAGCTGTGGGACCTCTACTGAGCTAAAGTAGGACTGTTTGGTGCAACACACAGAGACAATTGCAAAGTTTCTCCTTCTTCACAATTTCATGTATTTGGATAATTAAAATGATGATTACTTTGAATGCAGTATTTTGATGTAAAAAAAACAAACGACCCTTTCGAACTCCCAGTGACGGGCTGTGGAACCTTCTGCTTGCATATGATCAGGCTCATTTTCCAGAGTGCATTAATTATCACTCCAAACCACACAGGAGGGTAATGAATTGGTAACTGCCTTTGAATACCATGCACATTAAGACAATCTCAAAAGGCAAGGCTCAAGCATCGTATTTATTTGCCTCCAAATGCAACATATCTCCACCTCGATTCCTTACACCAGATTCCCTTCTCCCACCTCTGTAGTCTAAATCTTTGCAAATCTACAGATCACCACAAGAGGGAACCATTATTTCACATATAGACTTGAGTGAGACATATTCAATTTTTAAAAAAATCAACAACCCACAGTTGGAAGTGGCATGTTTTCAAAATTTTAGATGGCGGAGAAGCAACAAAGCAAGTTTTTCAAAAGGCTCATCAACCTTAACTGATGGCTGTCACCAAAGGAGTGACGTATTAAAACTGCTAGACTATAAGCTGATAAACACAGGCAGATAAATCATATGGCACAAAATTCCTGGAGTTGTTTCAGTTCAGAAAGTAGAGATACATGGTTGAATGCTGCTTAGTCTGTCTGTCTGTCTGTCTGTCTGTCTCTTTCTTTCTTTCTTTCTTTCTTTCTTTCTTTCTTTCTTTCTTTCTTTCTTTCTTTCTTTCTTTCTTTCTTTCTTGCATGCTGAAAAGAAGCCTGGTGGAAAAAAATGCCCGACACTGCTCTCTGCCTTACATACTAGCTTTATGTGGGTTCAAACACACAATTTCCGACCTGCAGCTTACCGTTTTGGGAAGGTTGTACCGCATGATTTTTCCAAATGTGTTGAACCCCCTTTTTTTTAATCATCAGTTTGATGGGGAGATGCCACACCCAAAT